TAGCCAGTTTGCAGACAACTGAGGAACAGAGTGATTAATAAGACTAAAAAATGAAGGTTGGAAAAATAATCTCTGCAGTATCTTTGTTGTTTCCCAACTCTGAGGTTGCCTGAAGGAGCTCTCCTTTTTGGCACTTTGCTACAGAGATATTTTTAATCTGTTTTATTAATTTAATCTTTTTGATCCTAGCTACAGTAATAATTATGTTATTGGAGGAAATAAAAGGGCTCTATGCAGGTTTTCCCATTTAACGTCATGTGCATTTATTAAGAGGGCAGCGAACCCTTTAAAAGCCCATATATAGCCACATGTGGTTATATATTATTTATAACTAACACAAACTATATATTAGAAGTCATTCTTTCCAAATGCAGCTTGAGAGAAGGTGGTTAAAGAAGCCTAAATGTTTGAGGAGTGATATTTTTTATAATGAAAGATTTGTCCTGTATCTCCTTCGGGAAGTTCTGCTGATACTGAATTCTCCAGAAAGCAAAACCAGTGTCAGTAGGAGCCGTTGATGGTTATGGCAGCATGGCTAACAGAAGTCCTCAGAGTGGACTCAGTCATAACAAGTGTACTCTTACCTGTGTACCTCCTTTTGCACATGAGATGGATTAATTTTTACTGTGTCAGCATAAAACGCTACTTTGCTATTACAACTTCAGCCACTCCAGGGGTGCGCTGATGATGTAGTATCAGTGTGCCTAATGCAAGCATAACCTTAAAGACTCTAATCTTAATGTGCAAAGATGATTGTGCTGACACATCTGCTGTGTACAGGTACAGGAGCAATTACATTGTACAAAAGAGGTTTTTTATTCTTGCAGGAATGGTATAATGAGAATGAGGGGGTGGAAACTTAAGCCAGAAAATTCAAATCCAAAATGAGAGGCACATGTTCAACTGTGAGGGTGATATGCTTTAGCCAAACACAATTTACTGAGCATAGTACAGAGGGAACTCAGTGAAATGTAATGGTCTGTGATATGCAGAGGGTCAGGTTCTATGATCTAATCATTTCTTCTGGTTGAAATCTCTTCATAAAAAAATCTAGTTCAACCATAACTTATGGCCTAAAGAGAGGAATTGCTGCATGAAATTCAATGACTAGCGCTTGTACAAGGTGCAGTTGGAAGTGCCCCTTCTGCCTTTATGGATGGATTAATGTGTTAAAGTAGCTTAAGGGTGTAACACATGTTGGCAAAAGCTATAACAGAAAAAACCTCCTGTTAAAGTGTTTTCAAATAGTGTAGCCCGTGGACATCACAGCTATGTCTACACTAGCATTTAGTGTGGTCTGTCAGGAGCACATTTGTTGAGTGAAGCAGTTGATGATCCAATGTCCCTGCTCCACAGGGGTGATCTTTTACTCTGTGCTGGTTCTAAGCTGATCCCATGGGCTGGATGCCTCTTTGGAGATAGAATGCATTAGGGCAATGTTTTGCAATGCGTGCATGCTGAGACTTCTCTGCAGTATAAGCCAAAGCACAGGACGTGAGGGTAAGGAGGAGATTCATTACGAAAGAATACTCTTGATGCATCGAGAGGCATTGATATTGATTAATCCTATAGCAGTTTTCACTTTAAAGGCTGTGCCGATAGATATTTTCCAACATTTTTTCCAACGTATTTTTCAGCAGTGTGCTCTTACTTTCTTAGAAATTCCTAGAATACCCCATCCCTGGAGAGGGGCTTTGGACAAGGGCCTGTAGGGACAGGGAATGGCTTTAACCTGCCAGAGGGGAGATTGAGATGAGCTCTTAGGCAGAAGTTCTTCCCTGTGAGGGTGCTGAGGCGCTGGCACAGGGTGCCCAGAGAAGCTGTGGCTGCCCCATCTGTGGCAGTGTTCAAGGCCAGGTTGGACACAGGGGCTTGGAGCAAGCTGCTCCAGTGGAAGGTGTCCCTGACCATGGCAGGGCTTGAAACTCTATGAGCTTTAAGGTCCCTTGCAACCCAAACCACTCTGTGATTTTATGATTTTGTTAGAATCGAACCCTTAACTGATACTTGATACTGTAAATTGTCTGATACAGCAGAAGTCTCACCAGTTGGCTGTCAGATGATGTGTATTGAACTCATTGAGGCTGAAGATGAGGTTTCTTAGTTTGGCATTATAATGCAAGTGCAGTAATCATGTGCTGTAGTTGTCTTGCAGCAGAATGGGGCGTCATGGAGTCTTTCAGTGAAAAGTTGTGACATGTAGAAGGAAGCTAGGTTAGCTGTACATTCCCTTTTTCAAAAGGTCTTATAAATGTGAGATGTGCCAAAAATGTATTCATTGTTTTGAGCTAAGATAGTTCTGTGTGTCAATTTAGGAGATGGTATATACATTTATTCTGGTGACAGCTCCACAATGGGTTGTTCCAAAGAAGGCAAAAGGGCTCACTGCCTAGAAGAGCTCCAGATGTTACTGATTGTGGTGATGTTAGCAGTTAGTTGCTTGGAATTGTTTAGCAGGTTTTTTTCTTAGTAACAAATGGTGGAAGAGTCAGCAGAGTCAGAACCAACCAGATCCTGACCCTTGCCAGTGGTAAAAACATGAACAAGCTTGAAGAGAGGAATCATTTGCAATAAATGCTGATTTAGATTTACTCATTTGCCCTGTTTTATCAACAATTTTTTCCTACAATGTTTGTGTTTAACCACTGCTGGTTGTATTCTTCAGAAATTGCAATATTCCTTTAAATGTAATTTTATTGCCTAAGATAGTGCTTCATCCCCAAAGTCATATTTTCTATTTTAAACTGGTTGTCTTTTAAGATGTATTTATTGCCATGTTTGTTTAACTTGGTTATCTCCTTCATCAGTCTATTTCTTGCTAACTTAAAGCTGCTCTTAGCTTTTAGTACAGAAAGCTGCTTCCCTGGGGATGTATAGTCCAGGACTTGTCTCTGTAATGGGACTATTTGTTTTCTTTGCCCCTTGCAGTTGCCTGCTGTAACATTTGTAGTATGTGTTAAGTAATCCTTGAGGTAACATTTTTATTATGTCATAAAAAGTGCGTGGCAAATATATAATAACTCATGGAATTTGTTTGTTTAAAATGGAAGGATAATTTATTGAGTGTGTTACATGAGACCTGCTCCCCCTTATTAGAGCTGTAGAAGTGCAGCTTATTTAGAAGTACGTTCTGTTGAGAAAAACCACGATCTCTGACATGCAGAGAAAGTTTGAGCATGGTCGGGTAGAAATGACATCATAGTTTATGTACTCCATAAAAATTTAATTAAGTCATTACAGAAGTTGCAGTCATCATTTAACCCTCTGATTTCTTATGGTTAGTTCTTTTTTTTCAACAGGCCGTAATAACAAGTCTCCAAATCTTGAGAGCCTGTAAAATAGCTGCATGAATTTTAATAGTTTATATTAATGGAAAAATATGAGTAACTGACATAAAAGGAATTTTCCTTGTGTTTGCACTATATGCATTTCTATAAAAATCGACAGATGAAAAAAGTCAGTGGTTTAATGGAAGGCTATTTGAACGGGAGACTTGCTAGAGTGGCAAAAACTCGAAAAGCTGTTGCATAATTACAAAGGTGAGTACTGTTAAGGACACTAAGAAGATGTTTAGGACATATGGTTCTTGCTTTTGTAAGTGTGACAAGCTGTGCACCAAAGACAGCAAGGATTATTCCGTACAGATCTGATGTCCTACCCCGTATTTCTGTTTGCTGTTTTCTTTTTTGTAAAACCCCTCTCGAAGATGCAGTCTCGTATGTGAGTGGTGTGCAGGTATGGAGATAATTACCCTTGCCTTTTGAAGAGCATAGAATCACAGTGGTTTCGGTTTGAAGGGACCTTAAAGCTCATGCCACGGGCAGGGACACCTTCCACTAGAGCAGGTTGCTCCAAGCCCTGTCCAACCTGGCCCTGAGCACTGCCATGGATAGGGCAGCCACAGCTTCTCTGGGCAACCCATGCCAGTATTTTATCATGCTCACAGGGTGAGCTTCTTAGTATCTAACCTGTATGCAAGATTTGTAGAAAAGAAATGCTTAGTATTTCTTAGATCTCTCCCAAGAGTCAATATAAAGAAGCAGCTTTACCTGTCGATGCCCTCAGGAGAGGAGCTGTTTATTAAATCTTTTTTGTGGATCAAATTAAAAAGTACAGGCAAAAGGACTAAATAGTACATATGAGGGAGATGCATGTGAGGTATTTCAGCCATCACTTTCGACCAAGCTGTTGATCTCTCTTGGTTCTGGCTTAAGCTCCCAGGGGGTCAGTTCTGCAAGCTAATGGGTGGCTTAGGCCAAACCAGCAAATATTTAAGCAGCTGTTAAACTGAGTTAAAAGTCAGTGTGGAACTTGACTGAGTCATGCTTACAGCATAAGCAGAAGTACCTGAATCATCGCACACTCTGAAAGAAATTTAGTCATAGTAAAAAACTAGTACATCTGAGCTTCTAGTGAAATGCTGTAGAAACAGAATTCATGTCATTCCTGAATGAGGAAATCAGTATTGACAAGTGAGGAAGGAGTGGTGGTAGGGATGGTGCCTTCACCTTCAGTGTTACAGGACTTTCTCTGTGATAGCACATCCAGCTCTGGAGTCCATGCTTTAGAGGAAAAGTGAAACCCCTCTGAGTTTCTAAGAATGAATCAAGGTCTGCAAGGTCTGCTCAATAGTTGAAGTACAGAGGAGTCTTCATTATCTTAGCCTGTGCTGCCACTGAAAGGACAGCCTTGCCTTTGCTCCTTCCCCAGCTGCAGTTTTTCTCTGCTCATGTAGTTACGTGTCAGTGCTGTTGGCTGAGGGGTTTTCTGCCATTCGTACATCCATAGTAACACTGACTTTCATGAAGTACCGAACTAACAGAGCTGTATTGTGTCTTGTTCTAAAATGTTTGACTGCACTAACATTGTTCCTTACAGCCAAATCCTAACCTGTGTGGGCCAAGACACTGTTTCTTGACTGCTCAGAATGAAACTGATACTATTTTGTCATCACCTCCTCTTTAGAGCCTATATAGATGGTTTTCTGGTTTATTTTTCAGATTAACTCTGTTGTTCTAAAGCAAGATATGAGAAGTATGGTAGAAAATTTCTATGCAGCTCTGTTTGGATATGATGAGGTAAGATGTTTTCAGAGAATGTGCAAGAACAAGTAGACCATCTAATTCACAATTGAATTAGATGGGCAATGCTCAGATGAAATACTGAATTACTGAATACTCAGATGGGCAAAACATTTGCCATACATATCTTTGGAGAAACGTTATGTTATGGAAGCAGACTTCAGAGTTACTGTGATCATCTTACACCTTGAATTAAAGTGCTTTTAAGAAGAAAGAAAGCAAGCTCATGACAAATTGATTTAAATAGTGGGACATGGAAAGAAGGATGTTCTTTATACTGCTTCACTGTCACTGCTTGACCATCAGTAGATCATTTCCTCCCTCTGAATCCTGTTGATCTCAGCTATGCTTTCAAAGCAAAGAGAGTATTTACAGCGAGTCTCTAAGAGAGGGTATTTTTAGGAAGCATCTCATAATATGGGAGGCAAAACCACCATTGTGACAAGTGTCTGCAGAGCTTTCAAGAAGATAATACATCATCTCTTTTAGTAGTTATTTATTTCTCTTGTGAGTGTTGCTCTTCAGATGGTCTTATTCACATGTGAAATTATTTTTATTGCTTGCATTATTAGTATCTTATAAACTTTGTAGAGTCGTGGATAGTGTAATGGATGCAAGTCTTTAGTTTTAAGCATAGCCAAGATTTGTCTGCCTGTGTCTGTCATCTTTTCTCTTTTTGTTGACACTCTTTGGATAAAAAATGTCTAATTAAAGAAATGTTGACAGTTTTTATTTTTAACTGAACGTTTAAAATCCTCTCTCGCTTTGGCAAATGTGTCAGCAAAAGAGTGGATAGATGAGACTATGGTGATAACACCACATAACCTAAAAAGACAGTAAAAGTGGGAGGGAATTTAGACAAAAAGTGCTCATGGGTGTGATTCTTGTATAAGCCAAATTTAATACTAGATTTAACTGGAAAAGTCTAGGTAGTTCTTGACCTGGAGGGCTTCTTTCTCATGTAGAATGCAAAATAGAAAAGCAAGGCAAAATAGCTAAGTCCTGAGTATGTTTCTGTGTCCTTCAGTTTTTCTTTTCCAAGTGCCATGATCTTCACCCAGTTCTGTGAGGTGGTGCTGTCTGCTCTGTAAGCCCAAAATTGTTAAGGTTAAGTTTTCATGACATAGAAATGTACATTAGAAAAATACACTAGGAGTACCCTGGCCCAGTTTGTTTTCCAAATTAACTTGCCAGAATATCTGTTACAGGCTGCTCTGTAAATTAATTTAAGGCTGGGATTGCTCTTCCTTTCTGGGAATGAGTGATGTTGATGCCTTTTCATATGTACAGCCCATAGCAGCTGTGGGCTTCGGGACAACTAATATTGTCAGTTGCCAAGTAGAGTAATGGGGTTGTCTTGTGTTGCCTCTTCACATGCAGTTTTTAATCTCCCTCCATGTTTTCTTTAGGGAATCTTGTCTGATGATCATGTTCTGGCAGCAGCTCTTTGGAGAAACCTCTTTAACAAGAACTGTGAGGACCCTCGGCATCTGGAGTTGCTTGTAGAGTACGTGCGCAAACAGGTACGCTGCAGTTCACAGTGCAACTTCTCTACATTCTCCTGGTTAGAATATTAACTATTTTTATTGCTTGCATACTGTGTAGCTCAGTTCTCATAACTGATCTTTATATTCAGTGATTATTTTTAAGGAGAAAAAATATAAAAATACAAAACCAGGCTGATATTTATTGCATTTTGATGAAAAACGTCTGCAGAGAAATACAGGGAATATTAAAAGCAATCTTGCTTATATTTTTCTGGACTTGTGCTGTGGAGGGTTTGACAAAATATGTCAGAAATGGGCTGCAACTTGCAGAGTTATAATTGATGTTGCAGAGTTGGGATCCTCTTCATAATGAAATGGCATGCAGAGTTTGAAAGACTTCTGATGATATTTGTGGGAAATAAGTAAAAGAGGTTTTGTTTTCCAGAGTTATTACCTGGAAGAATCTCTACCAAGTAGTGTTTGACCTCTCAACCCTTGGGAGGTTTGTGAACCAGGTTTCTAGGAAATGTGGTAGGAGTGGGTACCAAGTAGGTACCAAAGACAGAAAAGGGCTGAGAGAGGTTCTGGAGGAAGAGTGTAGGCTGTTGGACAGGGGAATGAAGACCAGAACCTTCACACGAATGTTCTCTTTAGTGTTTCCAATGCTATATTCAGATAGAGATTTGAAAAGAAAATATTTCAGTGTGTGTCTGAGAAAATGGTATGGGAAGTAAAGGGTTGAACTTCGTAAGGGATGCTTTTGGAATGCCAGAGGGCTTCTCAGGAGGTTCAGTCAACATAATGCTTAAGGTTGCTGATGGTTAACATCAGTGAGGTGAAGGAAAGTTTAAAAGTGAAGATTGGCAGGGAGCAAACGTAAAATTGTGTACTTTAGGACAGTTTGCTGCCAAATGGGAATTTCTTGCACTTCTGTACGGGCAAACAAAGAATAGGACAGAAGCTGTCAGAAGTTCAGTAGGAAACAGTGATCATGCACGTGAATGTGGCACACTGGGGAAGAATCAGCACTGCTTCTTGTGAATACAGATCATTCCTGTAGACAACTCTAAAGTGGTGCACTTCAGAAAAACATTCCCAGCTTTATGTATATATTGATGAGCTGTGAACTGTCTGTTACCACACAGGAATGAGTCCTTGAGATTGCAATTATCAAAATGTCAGCACAGCACTCTGTAGTGTTTAAAAAAAAGAAGTGAAGCAAATGCTCAGAATTACTTAGAAAGGAATAGAGAGTAAAATAGTGTTTTCATGCCACTTCTTAAATGATCAGATAGTACCCTTGTAATCTTGAATAATGTGTATGGATTGGGTTCTGACCATGAAAACTGAGATGAGGAAGGCTAAGAGAAGAGCAGTAAGGAGGACATGAAATAGCTTCTCCATTAGCAGTGAATAGGATTCCCTGCCTAAAAAACAGCTGAGGAAGAATATGAGCCAGCTTTGGGAACTCTTGAAGGCATGTGAAAGGTGAGCAAGGAAAGGCTGTTTACTGATACAGGAATGTAGAGACATAACATTGCCATGGGTTATTTGGAATGCTCCAGTGGCATGTGGGTTCCAAAGCCACTGGCAAGGGCTATGGAAGATTAACCTGTACACAGCTATTAAATCCACAACAACCACTTCAGGCTCAAAATTCCTGAACTAACAGATTTTGAGAGGAAGGACAAATAAACAAGGAGAATAACATTGTATGCATGAATTGTACTTAACTGGGGAATCTGATGACTGTCCGAAACAGGATATAGTGCTTAGGTGGCTATTTGGTCTGACCCGCTGTGACCATCAGTGTATTCCTTCCTCTGTTGAGAAACTCCTTGTCAGATTATCTTTGGTTCCCAGTCAGCATTGTGTACCAGGTCTTTCCCATAGCTTCTTGCTGAACCTGTCTTCAACAGCAGCTATTAGGGGTTACCAGAGAAGACTATAGTAACAGGGCAAGCATCTGTACTTGGAGGGTCAGCTCTCCTGGCAACCAGTGTTCACAGACTTCCTGAGCCAGAGATGGTGGTTTTATCATTTACTATCTCTCAATGGACTTCCTCTCCTTTCCCCCTTTACAGTGTCCTGTGGCAGTAAGTTAACCCTGTGTTGTGTGACAAGAGGGGTCTCTTTATTTTGTTTACATTGCACCTTGAAATTTAATTTGATCCCAGGTATTTCTTGTATTGCAAGAATGAGCATTCATTCCATGTTCCCTCCACCTCTTGGGCTTTCATATTACAAATCTCAAGCGTTCCCTGCTGGTCAGGCTTCTTTTTTTCTATCATGCAAAGCCTCAGTCTGTGTGAAACCACTTCTATAAGAGCACTCCAGGTAGATGATGGTACTATCAGTGTGTCACCTGAATTAAGTGCTGGGGAGATAAAATGACTCATGTTAGCTTTGAGTGGCTTCTCTTTGTCCTGTTGCCAAACTTTCAGAAGAAGCATTAGGTAAGGTATTAGTGGAAGACCTTACGCAGTTAACTCAAGTGGATCTGCAGATGCTTATCTCAGCCTTTCCCTAACTCTTAAGACTGAAATATATTAAATTATCTTTTCAGGTCTCACACAAATGACAAAGCATGTTAAAATCTCCTTTTTGTGCTTCATTTCTGGAGCCTGTTTGTGTAGCACTTAAGGGGTGATGGGGCATCTTGCACTAACTCCTTGTCCTTGCAGGTGCAGCACCTGGATGCGCTGAGCGGGGAGGACCTGCTGCTGACGGGTGAGGTGAGCTGGCGGCCACTTGTGGAGAGCAACGCCCGCAGCATCCTCAAGCCCCTTTCCCCTGTTTACAATGATGAAGGACTCTGAGTGCCTGACATCGCTATCAGATTGTCAGATCAGCTTGGGAAGCATGCTTGAAATGGGACTGGGCTGAGGCTGTGGAGTCAGGAGGAAAATCTGCTGTTGGAAAAGCAGTATTTAATTAGATATCCTACCCATGGTGCCTCAGTACCAGACCGGACAGCCATGCTTTTCTGACTGTTCACCTGCAAATAAATGCTAGTTCATTTGAGAACCTCTGTCCGTTTTATGGCACTGAGTGGTCCTTGCTGACAAACTGAAAGACCTGCCTTCTGTCTTTAGGAAACCAGGTATTTTACCATGACTTAGAATTATCTTAAGAAGACATTTCTGTCTTCTTTAAGAAGACAGTTCTGTCCTTTGCCATGTTTGGAAGCTGCTACCTAGAGGCACAATAGTGTTCCTCTGCTCACTGAATGGTTGTGAATGCAAGTCTGAGCTTTGCATATTAGATTTTAATGTATTTTAAAACCCTGATATCAAGATGGAGTGTTCCATTTTTGCTTTAGTGGAGTTAAGAGTTGCTTTAAAAGATTCTGAGTGGTTTTCTGTGAAAACCCTTTTTAGGAACTCTCTGCTGTGTTGCACAAGGGTAGGAGGATGCAAAGAATAATGCACAGTCCTGGTAATCCTCTGTGACTCCAGCCATCTTAATGAGAATAAAATCCAAACCGGGGCTGAGCTGTCACTAAAAAGCTCCTTAGAGTAATTGGTATTTCAGTCTGCCTTGCTGATATTTCCATATTCTTTTTAGAGTTGTGGTCTACGAATTTCTTTATGAAAAGAACATGCCTGGTTTTGTCCATGGTTCTCAATGGGACAGGACTATGATATCTTCCATCCCAAGTCTGGTCCAGAGAGTTTTAGCAAGACCTATCAACCCCAGTTGATCTGGCTGTGCAGGCAGCTTATGCCAGCATAGTAATTATAGGAGCAAGAGCTCCAATGATGAAATGGGCAGGGGCTGAGGTGTGCTGAGTAGGTGGATGGTTTACCAGGCTACTTCCAGGTCAGGGACAAAAGTTTTCATTTCTCTCCTCTCTAAACCCCTAGTCAATAATAAATGTCACTCTGGGTAAAACTGATGTGTGTGTGTTTTCTATGTGCACTTCTGATAAGCCCTATAATATCAGGACTTATCCCTAATAAAACTATTAAACAAAAGTCCAAGGTGATAATCCTCAATTTGTGAAATTAATCCTTAGTTTGTGATTCCGTAATGTGGTGAAAGCATGACTGTGCCTGGCTGTGACTGTTCTTCCTTCTGAAGCTGCTTGCTTCATATTGTGTGTTTTGGGGAATATCTGACATCCCTTCTCTGTACAAAAAGCAGTGGGATGCAGAATACAGGCTCCCAAACACTGCCTTGCATTTTTTGTTTTTTTTTTAAATCTTCTCTTAGGGAGCCTTCTGTGTATAAAAAAGGCATTTTGTTCCCTTCTTTTTTTTTCCAAGGCGAACTTCCTCAGTTTAACTTGTTATAAAATGAGTCATGTAAAGAAACCCTCTCTGTGTGAGGTGTATCCCTTCTCTGTGAAAACATTACAGACCAAACAACTTGCTTGCAGTTTATTTAAGATGCTTTTGTTGAAAGCTGAGCTAAGCAGAGAAACTTCTTATGTGTGAAGTATTATACAGTGTGTGTGAGATAATAACACCTTGTAATTCATTACAGCTGGGTTGTATTTACATAAAAGAAGGCTGAGCTGTGTAGGAATTTGCTGATTAATTTATTTTTAATGAGAGTGAAGTATACCAAGTACCAAAATAAACTTTACTTTGTGTATCTTACTGCTCCTGAAATAGGTGGAAAAATTAATGGTAGATATTTTGGCTCAAAGCTACATACATTAATTCATATACAAAACAGTTATTTAAACTTTAACCCCTTTCCTGCTATGTAATTTAAACCTGGAGTTGTTATCCATGCCATGGGAATGCAGGGAGTCCACCACCATCCAACCTGTTGCTGTGTGCAGGTCAGTGGTTGTGTCATATCTGTGGTGCTGATGCTGTGAAGTCAGCACGCTGGGAGAATTGGTGGCACCACTAGTCTGGATATGACAGTCCCATTGTACTATGAATATGGGACAGCCACATGGTCAAAATGGAGCCCTTTCCTATGTTTATGAGCAGGAGGCTCCAGAAATCATGGTGCCAGATTGACATCTGCTTTTGCCCTTTTTATTAATCTGAGAATAAAGACCTATAATCATGGCTCTGCTTGTTCCATGAAATGCCTTCAACCACCCCACAGTGACAGAGCTGAGCCAGCAGTCGGGATGTGTTTTGGACAGAAATGTGTGGGGCCTGTTAAAAGAATAAGGCAGAAACTGTCCATGAATTAAAACAGTAATCTGTTAAGAGAGGAAAAATACACTGGAGACTACTTAGGGCAAGGGAGGACTTTGCTTCCCAGCCATTAGTTACCTGGAAACAGGATTTGGATGTAGAATATGACCCCCCTTACCCTTGAGAGGTGTGTGCCAATAGGCTCAGAACATGCCATTACCAATATCTTTATATAGGACATCTTTACAACCAGAATTTAGAGTCCTTGAGAGACGATACATTTCCAGTAGCAAAATGTGCACCTTGCAAGCAGCAATGATTTCCTGTTAAAAGTGATTGCTGCATACAGCACTGCTCCCACTGCGGCAGAGCACAGGAGTGTTTAACCAAACATTGCAGAGCCCACCTTTACCTGTGTTCAAGGTTTTACAGAAAGAATGACTGAAGGTGTGTTTGTTATGGTCAGTTTTGTGTTTATGCTCCTGGCGTTCCTGAAAACAGTCTTGGAGCATCAGTTTGGGAACTCTTACTGTATTTTGTGTGAATATATGCAGTAAGGAGCCATGGTGAGCACTTTATCATGCAGCCTGGTCTCCTATCTCACATGTGGAAATTGGACATTGCTTTATGATTCCAAAGGGCTTGCTCCCCCAACTTTCCCAGGTGTCTTAAAAACAAGAGACATGAGCCTCTGGGAAGCACCCATTATTTCAGCTAGATCTTGGCTTTCTTGTGTCTGTGAGCAGAAAAGAAGGGTCAGTGCTCAATGTCTTCCCTTCCTTCTCTGCTGTCTTGCACCAGAGGGAGAGTAGATGTTAGATTTTTCCCACAGGGTCAAACTTGGGAAGTCTCTTGCTTCAGACTGATGTTCTGAGACATTTGGAGGCTGGGAGGAGTCATCTGATCCCCTTCAATGCCTACAGTGTATTTTAGGTAGTTAAATGTCTTTCTGTGTCATCTCTGCTTGGGTGTTCACACTGCCTTTTGGTATTTATATCTAATGTGTTTCTCCTGCTTCTTCAAACAGCTGAAGTGCTAAGAGCACAGGCATTCACAATGAGCTTCACGTTTTCTGTACTGTCCAGGTGCATAAGCCCTATTAAAGTGCTGTTACCACTTCCCACATTTCTGCCTCCCACCCTCACCTTCCACAAAGTGAAGTTTTTAGTCATGCTTCCGCCACACCAAGCCCTCAGGTCAGAACTGCTACTCCTGACATAGCAGTTGGACTTGACCACTGACCTGCCTTGCTTGCCCTGCCTTTGGCTGGCAAATAAGGTAAACAGAAACTGGAGGCTGAGGAAGAGCAATTTTCCAACCAGAGCTTTAAATGGACTAGAGTGAATGAAGAATAGCAAAGCTGTGGGAGGAGAAGCATCATCTGGAAGGGGATGGTGACTGGTTCTGCAGTCATTGTCCCTGTGATGTATGCCACTGCATGACACCCCTGAGGAGCAGTGGGAGCCATACCATGACTCGCTGTGACCTACTCATGTTTTTCCATTTGCCTGCTTCCAAAAGCCTGCAGAGGGGGTCTTTTAGAAATTCAGATCAACATAGACCTACTGCAGGCAACTTCTAGCTTTTCTGTTGTACCAGCTTAATCTTGCAGAAGTGGTCTCCATCCAGAGATGTGCTGAAGTACTGCCTGGGCATTTGGAGGAATTTGCTGATCCCCTCTACAGCTGCGCTGAGCAATTGGTTGCCCATCTTGAGCTCCAAAACTGGACTGTGTGTGTTTCCTTCCAGGAAGATGAAAATACCAGTGTTGGGAGTCTTAAATGTTTGTTAACACCTGGAAATTACTGAGTGTCTTTCTAACTCTTCTGCCTATAGAGTTGTGCCATGAATACATTTGTTGTGATGTTCTCCAGCTTTTCAGGCCCCAGTGCAGGTGTTTGTGGTTTTAACCTAGTACATGGGGAGGTAGGGTAGGGGTTTATGATGCTGGTGGCAGCTAATTTCTTAGTAGATATTCTGCTGTATAAGCTCCTGCCCTTCCCATCTGCCTCTTCACATTTGCCCCCCTTTGTCTCACCTCTGTTGTCTTCTTGTATAATAAATAAACTCTAATTGAGACTTTTTTTTTTTTTCCACAAGACCCTGTGCTGAATTTGTGCCCTGTGCTTCCTGCTGAACAGTGCTGCATCAAGCTTGACTTTGGTGTCTGAAGGCTTGGTTAACACCTCTCCCAGGAGCATGGGTGATGGTACTCCTACCACTCTGCAGCATGCCTTGGGGAGCAATATCACCATCTTTTGGGCATATTGTGTCTGCACAGCCTGGCCCACAGCACTGCTTGTCTTTTTGTGAAGGTCTGAGAAGTCAAGGAGAGGGCAGAAGCTTACACAGGAATCTGGGAAAGTTGGCAAGAACATAGCAAAGACCCTGAGGCTCCTCATGAGTGAATGGGGGGCTCTGCTGCTTAGGCAGTTGTGCTGGGCTTGTGAAGTATCCCTCTCTTCTCTGCCTGCAAAAGGAGAGTCACCTGCTGGTGCTGGGGGCTGCCTGGCCTCCTGCACTGTGATGGGGCAGTTGCATATTAATATCTATATTGATTCTTCTCAGACTCCTCTGGTGAGCTTTTTATAACTGCTGCCCTTTCTTCAGGTGTTTAGGGCTGTCCTGTGCATCCTCCATGTGTTATTCCTGAAGTTGCTGAACATGTTAAGGGAGTACTTGTTTTGCTTACAGTCATTCAACCTGCCTAACAGCTTGCTCTGCTCATTTGTGGGACAGAAGAGATGTTTGGGCCTCTTCCTTCCACTGGGAATGCAGAGCAGGAGCTCACGCTAGCATGATTCCCCCTTCTGCTGTTACATTTCAGTGGCTGCTCCAGCTAGGATGTGCTGGGAGCCGACAGGGAGTTTAGGACAAATTGCAGTGGATATTCTTGAGGGATGTGGGGCACACTAGTGTAAACAAT